ACTGCATGTTCAAACAGCTGGCAAACATGCTCAGAAATGATACCATTTGGAGTTGTTGTTTGATAAATCCCTTTTGGTCTTAGGTCCTTGGCATCAGGGTATCATGAAAGGATCCTCAAGACCCTGAAAATCTTAGTTGTGAAGACTAAAAACAAAGTAACATATGATATGTCTATGCCTACGACTATATAGTATATGAATATAATATCATATATACAATTATATGTTTCATTATATATTATCAGTCGATCATGTTTATTTTGTTTATTTTTAATGTCATTACTATAGTACAAAATGTCATGAAATATAAACATTAATAATGTTTATGGAATGAACTGGACTGGGGAGTCACGGACATGGACGAAAACCATCCTGTCATCCTGGATTCATCGTACGATGATCAGTTCAAGGAGCCATGTGTCACTGTCCATGCCCTAACATCGGCATTGGGATCATTGGGGACTTTGCACCTGGCGACATGCTCAAATACCGGGGAATATTATTAAAAAACATGATTAAATTACTTTACTTCGTGTGATCCCCACCATGGCATTTATACATGTTGTTACTGTTACTGGCAAATCTTCTGGCATTCTATCTGACATTTTATCTGGCATTCTATCTGGCATACCTTCTGGCATTCTATCTGGCATATCTTCTGGCATATTATCTGGCATATCTTCTGGCATTCTACATGGCATATCTTCTGGCATATGTTCTGGCATATCTTCTGGCATTCTATCTGGCATTCTATCTGGCATATCTTCTGGCATATGATTTGGCAAATCTTCTGGCATTCTATCTGGCAAACATTCTGGCACTTTATCTGGCATACCTTCTGGCATTCTATCTGGCATATCTTCTGGCATTCTACCTGGCATATCTTCTGGCATATCTTCCGGCATTCTATCTGGCATTCTATCTGGCATATCTTCTTTCGGGCATTCTATCCTGCATATCTTCTGGCACACTTTTTGCCAATCTATGTGGCATATCTTCTGGCATTTGATCTGGCATTCTATCTGGCATATCTTCTGACATTTTATCTGGCACATCTTCTGGCATTCTATTTGACATTTTATCTGGCATTCTCTCTGGCATACCTTCTGGCATTCTATCTGGCGTATCTTCTGACAATCTATCTGACATTTTATCTGGCATTCTCTCTGGCATACCTTCTGGCATTCTCTCTGGCATACCTTCTGGCATTCTATCTGGCATAGCTTCTGGCATTCTATCTGGCATATCTCATGGCATTTTATCTGGCATATCTTCTGGCATTCTATCTGGCATATCTTCTAACACTCTATCTGGCATATCTTCTGGCATTCTATCTGGCCGTTGAGGTCCAGCGGTGCACACTGAGCTGGGCAGGTCCCAGGTTGAGGTCCAGCGGTGCACACTGAGCTGGGAAGGACACAGGTTGAGGTCCAGCAGTGCGCACTGAGGGGAGGTCCCGGGTTGAGGTCCAGCAGTGCGCACTGAGCTGGGAAGGTCCCAGGTTGAGGTCCAGCAGTGCGCACTGAGCTGGGAAGTTGGCAAAGAGCTTGGCGAAGAGTTGGCAAGGCGGAAGTTGAGGTGCAAGTTGATGCAGACATGGTCGAGGCGAAACAGGCGGAGGAGCAGGAGGAGGAAGAGGAGGAGGAGGAAGAGGAGGTGGAGAAGGAGAAGGAGGAGAAGAGCTAGCCGAGGAGGAGAAGAACAACTCTGGTAAAATCTAACAACCCTCACCTGGCAGGTGGGGAATTAATGTCATCACTATAGTATAATAAACACATATAAACACAATAGTAGAGTACATAAATAACATATTAGCGTCAGAATGTCTGCAGATCTCACTGATCTCACGATGCGAAACTTCGGCCTTATAGGCCAAACTTCGATGTCTTCGCAAAGATCAAAGATCCCCCGGAGGAGCCCACCTGGCAGAAGGGATACCACGAAGGGATGGCCATGCCGGCAGAATGGGATAGCATTACAACGACTTCAGGTTGCGACATGAAAAATGATGTTTAATTAGGGATAACTATCCCGACATGTTTTTCTAAGATGTGGGAATTATTGTGATTTCTCGAGATGGATGGAGGGTTTCACTATTTGGATGATTTTTGTCGAGCCAAAAATGGTGATTCCAAATGTGATGTAACCAGTTAAATTGCCAGAACTTAGTCAACAAATGGGGTTTCTCAATTTGGGACCCCAACATCATCAGAGTCATTAGAGCCATTTGTCATTTGTCATTATGAATAGTTTGGAATAGTAAAATGTTGAGAAACACATTTTGTTGATGGAGAAACACATGTTGAATTTTTTGTGGATTCTGGCACTTTTGCGAGACGTACCCTATGGTAATCAATTGTGACTGGCTAAAGTACTCCACAAATGTAGGTTTATACATTGAAAAAACATCGAACCAAATGGAGGACTATTCATAGCTATGTTACATTACCGGAGGGCATTTGTCCCAGTTTATTGATACAGTTTTCAACATGTGGAGAAAATGATGATGATGCCCCGGAACATAGTCCATTTACAGTGAAACATGATTGAGACATATGGATACGTATGGATTACCCTCTGGTAAACTAAGATAGCTATTGAAAATGGCCATAGAAATAGTGGATTTACCGATTTACCCATTGAAAATGGTGGATCTTCCAGTTCGTTATGTAAACGTTTACCAGAGGGTATATCATGATGATGGACCATGAAATTTTGATTCAACCAGATCAGTGGTGACTGGGGCATCGGCTGCGGAAGCTGCCAAAAATACCTGACATCCTGGCCATGGAGACACCCAGGTATGGCCACCAGTGCACTAAGTCACTAAGTCACCCCATTTATGGATTAGTGCATATAATCATTATATAAGTCATTAAATTTATCTAGTAGCATATTGCTTTTAATTAGTGCTATAATGTAAATGCTGATAAATGGGATGACTTGGTAAAAGCTAGCAATATTTATCAACATTTACATCAAGGTGATGCTCGACATGGTGTGATTTCGAAGATCATCCCTGGGCTGAATACCGACGCGTTTTTTTTCTAAAAAGGCAATCAATAAGTTACTGGTCATTTAAAACGTGACGCACATATTTTGAAACGGATGTGGGAATGCGAAATGTGTTCATTTCATCTGTCCATAGTTACTTAACATAGCGAACATGGTCCATTTATAGATGATTTACCTGTGAAACATGGTGTTTTCCATAGCTACTCGTATGTTAAATCACCAGGTTGCCATTGACACTCATTCCGGGTGGCTCACGCCGGATCCATTGTACCCTCTGGACATGCTCCAAGTCCTGGTAGACGTTGACTCCCAGAGTCGGTTCAAGGGGAACTGGGCCAGAAATTAGACGGTATCCGAGTTATTTTCCAGCAAAGCTAGTGAACTTGATTGACATCATGTAGATAACACGGCATATTGTAGAGGGACACAGCCAGGTTTTTTTTCCTTTTTTTTGTGAAACAAAAGTCCTGGGCTCCGGCCCATTTGCGCAGGAAGGGGCGACAGGAACAAGCAAAAGAAAGCCTTCTGACAAGGCAGGGAGGCCCAGGGCGAAACATGGAGGGACCTGAGAAACCTTGGTCAAAGTCCGTGAGGGGATAATTACTCATGGACTATCGATTATCAAAAACGGGAAATATATGGGGAATAATTATAAGAGTTCATGAAATGGGATAGGAATGGCATCTTGATGGAACGTGGGAAATACAACCAATGGTTTATATGAGATTTAGTGGTATTCACCATCCTGGAGAGCTACATGAAAGCATTCAGGCCATCACTACTATATCCATCGATATTTCACATACTAGAAAAACAAGAGCGATGAACAACGCTTGAAATCACAATGTTGTTGGACATGTACAAACATCATCAAACAATACCTAGATATATATATAATATATGTATATATATATATATACATATACATCAAAGATCTACAATATCAATAGTAAGGCAAAAAAAAACATGACTGTTACATATGTGCAGCTGCTTCTAAAGTGATTCAAGACCAAAAACTGTGAGCAGTTTGCGAAGCCGACCGTCTTTCAACCATGTTGGAGTGTGTGAAGAGCACTGATTTGCAAATAAAGACGTATGTTGGGCCTTTGTTGGACGTAGCCCGTCGTCGCCCACTTGGAGTGCTTCCAGATACACTTACAAATCAAACATGAAGGTGGAACACGGAATATTTGGAATAACACCAAAGAAGTGTTACATGACAGGGCAAAATCATGTCCACAGCCGGTTCTGTGTGTGTGTGTTGTGTGTGTGTGTTTGTGCGTCTTAGCTTTGAGTAGAGGAAATTATGTTTTTTTTTTCCCCTGGGGGAGATGTTATTCTTACCTTGTTCTGTAGCATTACACAATCATGTTGCAGCTGAAAGATTGGCTCAAGATGGAGCGCAGACAACAATGGCAACAAGACTAGATGTGTGCACAGGACAAGCAACAATAAACTACTGAAGCACTCCAAAAGCTCAGGTTGTTGATAACCCCATCTAACCAATTCGATATACAATAAACCGTAGAATCCACCTATGCAAAAACAACAACTTACCCATGATTCATCAATGAAGACCAACTATCAATCCTCATGTTTGATATGTTTGGTAGTTAAGTCTCTGTTTTTCTACTTGTTTCTATCGTAAACCAGAGAATTTGCCTACTTAGTGCAGCCAAAGACACATGAACCTCAGCAGCTCCAGACAAGATGTTCTGCGCGAGGCTGGAACATGATTTCATAGGAATCATCATAATCACAATATCTATCATAATAAAACATGAATTTTATTGAACTAATATCCTGGTTGGTGGTTTAGAACATTTTTTATTTTTCCATACATTGGGAATGTCATAATCCCAACTGACGAACTTATATTTTTCAGAGGGGTAGGCTCAACCACCAACCAGTATCAAAGGGTGACATCTCAAATGCCATTTGAGATTCCATCAGGACAGCTTCAGCCCTCCGTGGGTAACGCTGCCATGGCCTCCATCGAGCCCACGTCAAACTCCGCGCCTTCAGCGCCAGCGCCAGTGGCGCCGAAGATTGTGAATTCCAGCTGCCTTTGTGGAGGTGCTGAGCTGGAACTACGGTGATTTGGAAGTGGATCAACTAGGTAACTAGGTTTTATGGTGGGTATATCTATATATCTTAGCACGTCGCTCTAACACGTTTTTGGCGGGTCTCTTTAGAGGCTTATTGTTACCTTAGATTTGGGAAATTGTAACCTGATTTAGTTGCAAATTGTAACCTTAAAATTTGGCAATTGTAACCTATTTTTTGTAAATTGTAACCTCATTTTTTGTAAATTGTAACTCCTATTTTTGTAAATTGTAACCTTATTTTTTGCAAATTGTAACCTTCAATTTGGGGAATTGCAACCTTAAATTTGGCAATTGTAACCTTAAAATTGGGGAATTGTAACCTTAAGATTTGGCAATTGTAACCTTAAATTTTGGCAATTGTAGCCTTAAAATTGGGCAATTGTAAATTGTAACCTTGAATTTGGAGAATTGTAAGCTTAAAATTGGGCAACTGTAACCTTATATTTGGGCACTTGCAACCTGAAAATTTGGGAATTGCAACCTCATTTTTTGTAAATTGTAACCTTATTTTTTGTAAATTGTAACCTTATTTTTTGTAAATTGTAACCTTAAAACTTTCCAATTGTAACCTCAAAAAATGGCAATTTATTATGTTACATTTAGGGCGTTCGCACCATTTTGGTGACTTTTTTGGCCCGAAACTGTAACCTTAACTCGCGGAGTTAAGGTTACAATTTTTAAGGTTACAATTTTGGGTTTCTGCACGCTATCCTGCAGATTGTAACCTTAATTTTCACCAAAAATTGTAACCTTAACTTTGGGCAGTTAAGGTTACATTTTTTTCCTGTTTGGGGCCAAATTTGGACCCGTTTCGAGCCAAATTTGGACTTCCAAAATGTTTTTTTTAATGGACCCCATGTTTTTTTAAAAACAAGATTGTTCCAATTGTTTCTATTTTCACCAAAAAATAAGGTTACGATTTACAAAAAACATGTTACAACTTACAAAAAATAAAGTTACAATTCACAAAAAATAAAGTTACAATTTCCAAATTTTAAGGTTGCAAGTGCCCAAATATAAGGTTACAATTGCCCAATTTTAAGGTTACCATTCCCCAAATTTAAGGCTACAATTGCCCGAATTTAAGGTTACAATTTACAAAAACTAAGGTTACAATTCCCATATTTTAAGGTTACAATTTACAAAAGGTAAGGTTACAATTTACAGAAAATAAGGTTACAATTTGCAAAAAATAAGGTTACAATTTACAAAGAATTAGGGTTACAATTTACAAAAGTTAAGGTTACAATTTAGGCTAAAGAAAACGTGTTAGAGCACCATTAATAGATATTGGAACATACTCGACCTAGTTTGATACTAAGTTGGGATCTACATAACTCCAATTCCACTTTGGTTTTGGGTCATTTTAACGGTAAAATGGGGTCTCTAACACCTGACATTTCAGTATGGTCGCCAGCGTCGCCAGGTCAAGTGCTGCACTTTCACCTCATGCAGTTGGACGGTCAGATCTTCCTCTGGATCGGGGGTGAGAAGTTGGGCCTCGACGTCCCGCGGTGATTTTCCGAACGTGGGGGGAGGGTGGCAGTTGTGGCCCAACATGGCATGTTATGGCCATGGATGAAATAACTCTTGCAACTCAGGTTATTTATCACTTAAAGGAGGTCATAAAAGCAGTTCGACTCTTAAAGTGCCATAACTGTGATGGAGATGATGACGACTAAGATCTCGGGGTTGTGAGAAAATCTGTGTAAACCTTGGTAAACCTCTGGTAGGCTATTTTGCTCGAAACCCCCTTTTTTGGGGGGGACATATCATGGTTTTCTGAAAGAAACTCTTCAACCCATGATATGCGGCATTTGACACTGGAAAGGAGTATCCTTCGGTAATCCAACATGGCAAGTGGAAATCTCTCATTTATACCCTCTGGTAATTTAGCGTAGCTATTGAAAATGACCATTAATAGTGGATTTTCCCATTAAAAATGGTGATTTTCAATAGCTATTTTAAATTACCAGAGGGTAGATGATTTTTCCAGCTCAAACCTCCATTTACAGGGGATGTTCCAGCTAGCCACGTTTGATTGCCGGAAATTTCTTTTCCAGAAAACTATTCTATGATGAAACTTCCCTTGCTCATCCCAAGATTATCCATATTAAACCATATAAAAGCATATTAAACACACCCTTCAACATTATACAACTATATATCCTCATGTTCCCTGGGTGAATCACAAAAAATTGCTCCCGAGGATTTGCACGTGGCCCTTCCCACGCGTTTTGATTCGCTGCCCAGTGTGGCGTCATTGCGAGGAGACCTGGCAGATTCACCGATCGATTTTCGGGAACTGAGATGGGGACGTAACCCCTCTGGTTTTGACAAACAGTTCGCCATGGAAAATAGATGGCCCATAGAAATAGATGATAATTTTCCCAGCGAACTAAACCTGCATTTATTTAAGGGATTGTCCATTTTCCATTAAAAATGAAGATTGATAGTTGAAGCATGATACTGTGGTTTCAAACATGTTTTATTTTCCATAATATGTGGGATAATCCTTCCCATTGACTTTCATATGTTTCAAGATGGTTAAAACCACCAATCACAGATTGATAGTTGAAGCAGGGTAGCTTTCAGTTGGCTTGCGATTTTGTAAATGATGTTTTATTGTGGATGTCCAACTTTTGACTGGGGGAGCTGAACGTTCAAGTTGAGGAACTACATAGGTTTATCCAGGGAAATGTGGGATAGAAGTGGAGATAACAATATAGTGAGATTGCAGAAGTATGGAAACTTGACGAATAACATATGAATATGAAAGAAAGCATCACCGGGATATAAAAACTCTGGCATACAACTTTTGTAAAGGATAGTTCTCTCGTGTCTGGAAATACGCCAAACACTGTGTAGCGATAGGCCCCCCCCAAGAGCGATACCTATCAGAGCTATCGATAGGCCCCCGCAAAAAGCGATACCCATTTTTTCGGGATCTTAGCGAAGACAATGAGTTTCGACAACGGCTCATATATGTTTTAGTTCGCAGTATGAAATATTATTTTATCACCAAAACCCCAACAGTCAACCAAGAAGCCAATGATATCCCACGCATTGTGGCCCCAGGTATGTTTGTTGGTAGCGTATTTCCTGGAGTTATCTTTACCAACTTCGCTATCCAACGGGGGCCCCGCCGGCATCGCTGAGGAGAGGTGGATGGCAACGCCAGTAGCTTGTCACAGAAGCTTTCGAGGCGGCGAGCCGACGCCTCGTGGGCTCGCAGGAGACCTCAAATTCCAATGTCACTACAAGGTGGTGCCCCATAGTTCGCTAAGTTGGTGAACATAAGTCCAATAACTATGGTTTCTAGGTGATATTATCGAACTAGTTAGTGGGAAATTATAAGCCATTTATAACTTTAGGGGGCACCACCTTGTATGGTTTATGGTCATTATAAAATATTTTCATGAATGGTCATGAAATAAAATATGATAGACACCAACCATATTCATGGGTTTTTGATGGTCACTATATAGTTGATTTCACTATGGTTTATGGTTATCAACAAACAAAAAAAACTTCTGTGCCACCAACTTTAGATCGTCTTGCATGCCTTGTTGAAATGCAGGCCTTCGCGCCTGATTCCTACTTTTTCACTGCTTGGAGGGTCCTGTGAGAACAAAGGATTTCAACAAAGAGATAGAACAGATCCGTAGCACACTTAACAGTGATGTAAAAAGATCCATAGCACAGCAATTTTAAAAACACCCAGCTTGAAAGTCACGGGCAAAGTCAGGTCCTTGGGGTTCACCTTTCACCAGAGATGGTTAGTGCAGCAAGGTGAATTGTTCAAAAAGCATAATCTGATTATCTTTTCAAGCGTGGGGCATGCATTTGTATGCATTTGTCACTTGGTGTGAAAGTGAGAGTTTGACCATGTTTGAGCCATACCCAAATAAATCCCCAAGCAGCCCCAGTTTTCTCCGGAGCGGGGTCAACTTAAAGGGAAACACAACACGGACCCAGATGCAAGATGGCATCTGGGGGGCCACCTTGTAGCAATTTTCTTCACCATATTTCTCAAGAAACCCAACGTTTCATTTACCTGACTTGAATTAGAAACTTATTAAATAAGTTTTTTAAACCCAATTTTCATTTACCAGAAAAATTGTTTTACCCATTGCCACTTGAAACATATACTCTTTGTTTTTGGCTGCAAGTTCCGGCGCCACGCCATTGATCCATGCAGCGAAAGTTCCGGCGCGTTTCGGAGGCGCTTTGGACTGATGGTCTTTCTGAGCCTGAACGTCCCCGACATCGAGGGTGAAATGATGTGCCACGGCCTGGTTTCATGACTGGATGGGTATTTCAGTACAGGCTCACTGTTGCAGCTATAAGAAAGTGATGTTATATAATGTGTGTGTGTGCGTGTTATGTGTTTTTTTACATCAGATATTGGGGAATGTGATCGTACATGTTTCCCATTCATTGGTCGATGAAAAAAGAGGGATATCCGCCGTGATTCACAATCATTCTGGGTAAACATGGTGTTGCCCTTTGGTACGAACAAAGTGTGACGGACAACCACCGTGTTTAAGTGAACAGGCCATTTGTCCATCGCATTTTGTTAGATCCCCTCGGGAAAGTGGCGGGACAGATGTTCAGCTGGCCTCAAGGATCCAGCCTTGAGGGACCATACGGTATGATTCAGGGATTTTGTAGCCGTACTTTCTCAGGAATTTGGATCGGGACGAAATACATCAATCTAAAAACCTTTGCAATCGAATCTGGTTGGTGGTGACTGGAAGCATGGAATGTTATGACTTTCCATTCAGTTGGGAATATATTTTATCATCCCAACTGACGAACTCCATCATTTTTCAGAGGGGTAGGGCTCAACCACCAACCAGGAATCTGTCGGGGACATCAATCTGTCGGAACCGGTTTGGAGCGTTTGATTTGTCGAGCAATCGGCTCGGAACCATGTTGACGGAACCAACCTGGGATTGGTTTGGGGATTGGTAAAAGCTAGTAAAAGCTACTGTCTTCTGGAGATAATATGGTGATATCAGTGATATCCTGGGTTTTGATGGTCGTTACCACCTTTGACACTTTACATAACCCCCAGAATAACCATATGTTTAGAGGAAAATCGTTTTCCAACATCTTCCTCCCCCGCAGGGTAATTCTTTCCGCTAAACATACACCACCCATTGTTTAAATGCTGCGTATTTTTTCCCCATCCGTTTTTCCAGTGGCATGAAACCAAGCATCAAAGTAATCTCCGAAAAAAATCCCGTCAAATAGCCTTTATGCCAACAGTCGTTGTTTTTTAGTGAATATATCCAGTTAAACAAATCCTCATCCTTAAACGATTGTTTCGGGTATGATCTCAAGTAATGTTTGGTACAGGATCTCCTCAAATCATGTTCTGGAATACAATATGATTTATCATTCATTGTTTGATATCCCGATTCTGTGTTTCTAAATCTAGAACGTGTTGTTTCTAAAGCGCTTTTTTCCCACAGGCTGGCTGTGCAGAACCTCGGTCGGACTAGTTGCAGAACCGTGTTGCTGAAGACTTCCTACGCACCAAGCACTTGTTTTGGAGGAGTACATAGTGGTGCCCCATAGATAACTAAGTTGGTTTATAACTACAATAAGTGGGACTTATGGTAGATATATCTATAGTTGATGGGGGTTATAAACTAACTTATAACTGGGGGGTACCACATTGTACCGGTCCCTAAGAGTTGTAACTGGCTAAGAACACCCCATTTAAGTGACAAAAAGCCAAGTAGCTGCAGGACATATATAATCCCATGAACACCAGACCTGTTGAGGGCTAGAACTGTAGGAAGCTGAAGCCAAGTTGGTGTATAAGTAGTTTAGCTACACTTTATGGTAGATATAGATAATGAGGGGTTATGCACTAAGTTGTAACTGGGGGGGCACCACCTTGTAGGAAGCTGCACCAACAGTACAATGCCAACAGTGAATCCCTGGTTTGGATCACCCTGGACCATTGGATTATGGAGAAAATGCATTGCTTGGCAACCAAACAGTTGGCGTGCAACTCAAAGAACTGGGAGATAATCGGTGGATATGTGATGTTGAATGGGTTGATAATCCAACTTCTACAGTAACTTGGGGGGACACTTTCTAGTTGTCTAGCTGGCTAAGGGATTTGGCTAGCTTGGTGTCGCTGACACCCGTACAGAAACCAATCCGGGCTCCACCTAGGAAGGAGAGCACCAGAATCCTCAAAGATTTATTGGAGCCCAGCGCTTGAGGCAGGTGAACGGGGGAACCGGAACTGATGACATTTTTTTGGGACGGATCACGAAAAAACTCGAATTGCAATGACACTTGAGAACTTGTAGAAAATTGTTGAAGATTATATTGGTCTAAAACTACTGAATGAAAAATGCAATTTCTTATTTTGCGCCAAACCTAACGTATACTTGTTCTGTTTTGGACATTCTCAAGTTTCGTCTATAGCTCTATTGGCATATCTTTTCTATCCTTCCGAAAGGGCCGTCAGGTAATTTCCAGCACCAAGTGGAATGAACACTGCCAGCATATCCATCAAAAACACCAGAAAGAGTAAGAGTATGTAAGTAAGTAAGAGTGTTCCTTGAGAGTAAACGATGGCAAGGTGTGATTGTTTGGCTGTATGGTGTTCCAAGGGTTGATTTTGTTGCATAATTGATCAGAAGTCAGTCCGAGAAAAACAAAAAACATTTTGAAGATAAATCCAACATGTGATTTAAACTATGAAGTGTAACAGACTCCCCGTTTATGTCAAGATTTGTTACAGTCCGCCAGCCCTGCGCAGCGGGAGGGATTCTCCATTTTTGGCCACTACGGTTTTGTTGGGTATCCAGCATTTGACCCATGCACATGTATCCAGCTGTAATTGGTATCATTGCTTATATTATTCAACTGGTTGACAGGCAGAAGATTAGAGGCACCGAAAAGCAAGCTTTGCGCTTGCGCAGGTTTGGTGAATACCGTCCCGTCTCCATGGGTGCCATGGTCAAGAGTAGGATTCTATATCAATATTGGGGATACTCATATATAACCATTATAAGATTCCCAATATGGGGTGGATTCCATAAATCATATACCTGTTTTGACCCTGTCGCATGTGAATCTGGAGATGAACATCCATAACTTCCATCTGTGGTGTGAACAACCAGGGCAACCAGGGTACTCATCAACTATTGATCCAGAAATAACAACTACTGATTGATTTTGTTGAGTTCTTATCATCATTTATATCTGATTGGTTGTTTGGAACATGAATGTTATTTTTCCATATGTTGGGTATTTCATCATCCCAACTGACAAACTCATATTTTTCAGAGGGGTAGGGTTGAAACCACCAACCAGTTTAACATGTCTAGAGGATTTTCCCATGTAAAGCTCTATTTAGGGGTTTTCCATTGGGCCCATGTGGACCCCACCCATTTTGACCTTGTCACAGGTGAACTGCGGCCGCTGCGGGGGAAAAAAAACCGGCAGCAGTGGAGTCTGCGAATCATTGGGCATGTTCCAGTCTGCGAAAACTGGATGTCTACTTTAGTCCTGTATTTGCTGAGTGATTCTTCATGTTCCCAGGAAAATATAACTACTTGGGGAATTTATGGGGAATATGTTTGTTCGTTTGTTTTTGTTTTGAATCTTAGTAGTGTAACCTCATATAACTGGCATTGTTCATGGTTATATAATGAAATTATATATGGTGTTTATATATGTGGTATATATGAATGCCATCCTGCTTAGCTCCTGATATTTACAACCTCCTACGACGTGTCGGAGGCTGGTCTTTTTCGCTCATGGGTCATGAGATGACCGATCTGGGTCAACCGACTGGTTAGATAGGAAGCAATTAAATAGGAATGACCACTAAATGGGAAATCTTTGAAGAATCCATATATATATATATTCTACTGTATATACTCCAGCATGATTATATACATATATATATATATACACTGATTGGTGGTTTGGAACCATGGAATTTTATGACTTTCCATATATTGGGAATAATATTCCCAACTGACGAACTCATATTTTTCAGAGGGGTAGGTATACCACCAACCAGTATTGGTTAAGCATTGGTTTTGTTATAGATCAGGAATCATCAATTAAAGTACTGTCATGGTTAAAGATAGTGAATGTACTAGCCAATCTTTTGCTATCAATGGTAGAATTAGTCCTTACTAACAAGCTCAACATGAGATTGTGTTGGTATCCGAGATTCACCATGATGGAGGAAACATGAGGACACCCAAGGTTGATATGCCAGTGTCAGCCGTGTCAGCCCAGGAACCCTTGTGAAATCGTCTGCTGTTTGATCAGAGATGAGGGGCTTGAAAGATTCATCCATTGTCATTCTACATGTTGGAGAAGCTCATCTGTTGGAGAAAATCCCCTAGTGTTTATAGGATTTAGTCACATGGGATTAATCCATTCTACATATCCCATCATATCCCATCTTCATGTTGGCGAGCAGCTCACCTTATCAATCCTCTACTCTGGACACGATATCGAAAGTCTGGGAATATCTCCCGCGGTCCCATGATATTCTCATCACATGGTTTCCTGGATAGCTCCACCACGTGGTGCTCCATGGCTCCATGCTCAGCTAAGTTGCTTTAGAACTTCTTAGGGATTACAAACCAACTTAGAACCAATTTGCAAACCTATCCGAATCCAACATAGATCCACAATTGGCAACATAAATCCGAATCCAAATCTCCACGACGACTTTGAGCCCACTGACCCTAGTTACCTAGTTAGAAAAACTCTATCAACGATGAAGAATCACATATAATCACATGTCCACAATCGCCACAATCGTGGTGGTTACATCTCCACCTTCGAATGTGTCGCTGAGGTCCTGCGATTGGTAGATGAGATCATGTCCTTGACGTTGATCGAGGTCATGGGCAAATCATGGGAAAATGGGAAGATCATGGGAGCCACAACGGATGGGAAGATCATGGCTATGATATTATGGGAATCATGATAATTCATGATGGCTTCTATTTTGGGAATTTGATGTTGATATATTTTGATCATTTTGGACTTGTAATATGTTGTAATATGATATTTGATATCATCTTTTGGTTGCTGGTGATATTCGCTTATGCTATACAAATACCCGCTGGTTATGACTAACCTAGCGAACTGAAAATCACCATTTCTAATAGGTAAACCATCTATAGATGGGCCATATTCCATGGCTATGTTAAATAACCAGAGGGTATATCAAAATTACTAACCCAGTGTGGGACTCCCTATATAAACAATGCTAGCTTGAAAGTTCCGGACCTGCAGGTTTAGTTCACTGGGAAACTCATGGAAGTAAAGTTTAATTACAAAGGGATCTACAAGGGGATGGATTCCAGCTAGCAATGTTTGATTGAAGGGTATTTTATGTTGAATCCATTTTAATCTCAGATTTGAGTTTAGGAATGCTTGAGTATTAACGAATATCCCAAAGAATGACATTAACCCAGCGTTGCAACTCCAGCAGGTTCCAAGGTTCCGCCGGGGTTCCGGGGTTCCGGTTCCGTTCCGGTTTCATCAGCCTTCTTTCAGCTATTTTTAGCTTAGTGAAATTATAACTGATCCAGATATAATCAAAAAAATGGATGCAACTATAGCGAGCCATGGAACTGGGAAACCGTGGTGACAGTGAGGAAGTAGAATCATTCTGAAACTGGGGACATCTGGGGACTTTCCACTTGCCAGTCCTTCTAATGCCCAAATCCTGGCAGCAAAAAATCATATTCGATTGGCGATTGGCTTCAAACCTGCCACTTTTTGCCAGTAACATGTCCAAATCAAAGCAAGTGTTTGCTTAGTTTGAAACCAGTGAAATGTCCAGATCTTCCAGAATGGAGGTTTCCAAAGTCAGATACCCCTAGTTATCATCCATTGTTCACAGGATTTTCCATGAAATGAACAACCCAGCGGGGTGTGCCAGGCTGCCGATCTCTGTGACCTTTGCCAGGCGGGAAAACTCACACAAAAAGATGCCGAAAATACATCGGAAGCCCGGAAAATATCATGAGAAACACCACCATCTATAGCATTCTGGAAACACATTTCGGCATTTTTTGGGGAGGTTCTATATTGCCATATTTATTTCATGGTTGTCAATGGTGAGTTCATGGCCGTTTTAAATGTTTTAAGTGGCAAACTATGGGGATATATCATGTTTTTTTAAATGTATATAGCATAATAACTTGAGAACGGATGGATTTGCATAAATTATGGCCATAATTTCGCAGGGGTTTGTCTTCATGGCAGAAAAATCATGGCCATAAAGCAGGGCTTTGTCACCTGGGAGGATCCCCAAATTTCTGCCATTGGCCACGATGGCCAGGAGAAGCTGGCACCTGGAGATGGCGCGCCCATTCCGGGGCGGATGCCGTGGCCAAGCGAAAAAACCGGCGGACTTTGGGGTAATGATGGGACTTAGCCAGTTGAATATCTGGTTGGTGGCCACTGGTTACAATATACCATAACTGCCATAACGAACTGGAAAATCACATTTTTTTAAATAGGAGCATGGGTAAATCAACTATTTCTGGTTGGTGGTGACTGGAAATGTGGATGAATTCTATGGTTTATGGTAGATATAACGAACTAGTTAATGGGGATTTTAATGGTTTCAACACCAACAAACACTGGTTGGTGGTTTGGAACCATGGAATTTTATGACTTTCCATATATTGGGAATTTCATAACCCCAACTGACGAACTCATATTTTTTCAGAGGGGTAGGTATACCACCAACGCATCCAGCCGTACCTTCTCAGGAAGGACTTGGGGTATGATGACTAGGGGGTTAGCCGTACCTTCTCAGACAGTGGCCATGGATCCGCAGGGATTTAATGGGAGAAGTTCACCATCAAAATATGAGGATACATGATGATACAAGTGTAAATATGACTGATCAATGATGGTTAGTTGATGATTACTGGAGTAACTGGCACCTGGACCAAGGGCGGAACGTAATTCTCTGGCCTAGGCTAGAACAGTGCGAGAATGGCACCCATCCGACTCCTCGTCGATATTCACCGACCCTGGCTGGCAATCACAGAAGAAGCGACGGCTGGCAAGAAGCCGCCGCCAACGCCTCTTATCCCTAGGCGGGCAGTTTGAGATTGGTGCCTTCCAGGGTGGCGGGGCTCTGTTGTCGTCTGGCTTCACCGACCCCCCCCTGGAGCACATGCCTTGGGGAGCCGAATGGGCGTCGCCGAGCGCGACGTC